ACAATAAATTATTTGATCCAGACAAAATTACGTGTGCCATAACAAACACTAGCAGACACGTTCCTATAAATTATTTGATCCAGACAAAATTACGTGTGCCATAACAACACTAGCAAACACGTTCCTAGTCCTCACCTAATCCACCACACGTTGTGTTCGGACTAGGAACGCGTTTGCTAGTGTTGTTATGGCACACCTAATCCACCACACATTTTGTTCGGACTCTATTTTTTTCAAAATACAATATTTGTTTGGATACTAGTGGTATCTTTGAATTGAAGGAAAAAGGAAAAAAAATTATATATTATATATTATATATTTTATCTTTAAATAAATAAATAAATTTTTAAAAAATAAAATAAAAAATATTTTTTTCCTCTCTTATCCTTTAATTTTTTTAATAACTAAATGAAAATTTTTTTTCCCTATCCTTACATTTTTATTAATTTTCCTCCATCCAAACATACTGTATAAATAACCCCATTTTTGTAGTAAGTCAAAGATAGCTAAGTGTGTGATTTCTAAAACATCTAATTAAAGAGAATTATTACGTGTGATCAATGTCTACAAAAGCGTGCTGTAAATATGGGACTTAAAATTTTTAAAAATTTGAATATTAAAATATGAAAAGAGGAATTAAGAAAAAAATATGATTATTAATCTAAAAATACGATTATTAATCTAAAAATACAATTATTAAGAAAAAAATATAACTATTATATAATTCATCATTTAATATCTTAAAAATAAAATTACGTATGTTCCATTTGACTCTAGATTTGTTATAATATGTATTTGAATTCTTTTTAACTTGTTAATACATATTTGTTTATATTAATTAATATTAAAAATAACAAACGGTGGGAGGAAAAATCTACAACCAAAAAAAATTTAAAAATTGATAAAATCATAACCGATAATTAGGGTTGGATTAAGTTTTAGGTTTGTTTGATTAAAAATTAAATCAAATCAATTTTAAAAGGTTTAACTTTTAATTGTTGCATTTAAAAATTAAAAAACTGATTCTTATGTGATTCTAATTATCGAAAAATTCGATCAGTCCAAAAATATTTTATATAAATTTTTTAATGGTTTCTAACTTTGTTTTAGGTTTTCATACCACTTTCTATCTAATTAATTATTTACTTGGATAATTTTTAGTTTTTTAATGATTGAAATTAACAAAATAACAATTAATAAATTAAAAATATTAAAAAATATAAAATATTTTTTAAATATTTTAGTTAAAATCAAAGTTGATCCAAATGATTATTTCTAAAAAAGCAATCAAAATCGACAAAACCTGTTCTATTCAGTTTGGTTATTGATTGTAAAAATTTAACAACAAAAAATTTAATTAACCAAAAATTTAGTTTTAGTTATTCCCATAACCGTTGTGCCCACCCCTAATAGAAACCAGGAGCAAATTTGGTTTCATCTAGCACCACCATGTGCTAATTAAAGATGCTTTAGAAGGTGATCTTCCATGTACTTTCTCATTGGGTTAACTCACCAATTTGATTATT